CTCCTGGTGGGGGGCTTTGGGCAAAGGTTAGAGGGAAGGCTGCTGGTGGCGAAGAGCCGGAGTGGGACTTGTTCCAGTGGGACTGCATCATGGCCTGGAACTGGCTGACCATCTCAGCCCACTGAGCCTCCAGGCACCGGCACCTGGCCTTGCACTCCCGCAGGTCTTCCCTCTGCTTGGAAAGCCTATGCTCCTAGTCCTCAGTGAGGTGCTTCTGCTGAGCCTCCTTCTCGGCCAGATCCAATTTGAACTGAGCTGTTTTGCCAACTCTTTCTCCTGGGGGCTGCTTAGCTCCAGCAGCTGCTTCCTGTTGGGGCCCTAAGGAGCCCAGTGGGGAGGGGTGAGTAAAGGCTGGCGAGGCGCCCCTCAACATGAGTGACATCGAGTTCGCCACACCCACCCAGTCACATGACCACCTAGCCACGCCCACCCAGCCGGTCATTAGGCAGATCGTGTTGGTGGTCCACGGGATTTAAAATTATGAATTCAGTGGTCCCTGAAGTCCGAAAGGTTGGCGACCCCTGGATTTATAATATAAGGCACCGGTCCCCAACCCTAGGGGGTCATGCCCCACAACAAGCCCTGCAAGCAACGGCAAGGACACACGCACAGCTCAACCTGCACAAGCGAGGAGGAGGAGGAGGAATTCAGATTAGGAGTAGGAAAGCAGATTTTTAACGTGTTACTCTGGGAAAAGTCCTGTTGAGCGTCTCTTTTCACCTCCCTCTTGTCATTCTCTGGAACTATTTATTCTCCAATATCTCCCCCCCCCCCTTTTATCCCCCCCTCCCCCCCCCGGGGCCTGGCTTGATTCCGCAGATGGCCCATTTCCAGAAAGAGTTGGAGGAACTGAAGGCTCGGACGGCCAAGGCCTCGTTCCAGGTGGGCAGTGAGGAGGAGAAGAAGCAGCTGCGCATGGAAGCCACCGACCTGCACACTTTCCTGCTGGAAATCAAAGAGACCACAGAGGTGAGGAGGAGGAGGGGGAGTTGCCGGGTGCCAAAAGCGGCACAGATTTGGGGAAAACAATTGGAATAGAGCTGGAAGGGGTCTCGGAGGTCTTCTAGTCCAACCCCTTGCTCAAGCGGGAGGCCCTTTACCATCTGAGACAATTGGCTGTCCAGTCTCTTCTTGAAAGCCTCCAGTGATGAAGCCCCTGCAACCTCTGGTGGAAAGTTTCTCCTTAATTCCAGGTTGCTCCTCTCTCCTTGGTTACTTTTCCCACCTGTTGCTTCTTGTCCTTCCCTCAGGTGGTTTGGAGAATAGCTTGCCCCCCCCCCTCCTCTCTGTGTCAGCCCCTGAGATGCTGCTGTCATGTCCCCCCTGATCCTCCTCCTCCTCCTCCTCTCTGGACTAGCCAAATCCAAATCCTGCAATTAATTAATAATCTAAAATAATTAATAAAACCAAGAGCAGATTATTTATTTATTTTTCCTTTATTATTTTTAATGTATTCTATTTTAATATTGGTATCCTGCCTTTACTATTTGTACAAATAATTAAAGGCAGCGAACTTATACAACACAACACAGCTTCCTCCTATTTTCCCCGCACAACAACCACCCTGTGAGGTGGGGTTGGACTGAGAGAAGGGACTGGGCCAAAGTCACCAAGGCGGAACTAGAACTCACCAGCCCCTGGTCACTAAATATATGGTCGTAAGACTAGGACAACCTGTAACGAATTGCCTGTCTGTGTCTCTTTCTCCCACCTGCCCCTCGCAGTCCCTTCATGGAGACATCAGCCTCCTGAAGACCAACCTCTTGGAAGGCTTTGCAGGGGTGGAGGAAGCCCAGGAGAAGGACGAGCAAGCTCACAACTCAGAGTACTTGCACCTGCTTTACAAGAAGCCCTTGGACCCCAAGAGCGAAGGGCAGCTTCAGGTAGGAGCAGATAGCCTCTCTCGGGTCCAGGGTGCCTTCAGGAAGCTCCCCAAGCGGACCAGGAGAAGTCCTCTTCTTCTGCGGTGGTCGTCATCTGCCCGCTGGACTGTTGAGGGAAGCTGGCTGAGGTTCAGGAAGTGGGATCCAGCGTCAAAAACTAGTTGCTAACCGTAGCCCTGTGTGGAGGAGGAGGAGGAGTTCATCTTGCAGTGTGGGAGAGCGCCAAGGATTGAGCTGGGAAGGGAGGAGGAGAGCAGAGGAGGAGGAGGAGGAGGAGAGGAAGGGAAGGGTGAGGAAGAGGAAGGCAGAGAAGAGGAAAAGGGAGAGAGGAGAGAGAAAAAGGAAGAGAGGAGAGAGGGAAGAGGAGAGGGAAAGAAGGAAGGAAAAGGGGAGAGGAGACCCAAAGAAATGCACCACCAGGGTTCAGATCCAGATGGACTGTTGGCTCCAGTGCATCCAGATGAGCGCCTCCCGGAGAGGCCAGGCCCAGCCATCCCAGAGAGCTGAGGGCCCAACCTTCCCCTCGGGTAGCTTGGCATAACCCCCCACCCCCGTTCCCCTGTGGACGTTTTGAGCTGAAGGTGGAAACTTTCTCCCGGGCAGGAAATCCGTCGCTTGCATCAGTACGTGAAGTTTGCTGTCCAAGACGTGAACGACGTTCTGGATTTGGAGTGGGATCGGCACCTGGAACAGCAGAAGAAGCAGAAGTGAGGGCGGCTTCAGGCGGGGAAATGGAAAATCTTTGGTCCCCCCCGTTCCCCCCCCCCCCTAAGATTTCCTGCGGGCTTTTTAAGCCCCAAGCGCGGCTTCCCTTGCTTTTGCCGATTTAGCTTCGGAGGGCTTCAGATACCGATCGCTTTGACAACTCTCTTACAGAAATCATGTTTTTTTACAGTTAAGTTTAGAAGGGTTCACATTGAGTTTAAAGAGGTTGTTTGCATGAATATTATTGCGATTAAAACATGGAAAAATAATTTACAGGTAAAACATGATGACTATGTACAATTTTGTATGCAATACCTAAGTCTGAGCACAAGGGGCGCAGTTCCAGGTTACCCAAACCGAGATTTTTGGGCCTAGCAGCATTTTCCTCCTTCTTCTTCTCCTTCTTTTTCTTCTCCTCCTTTTCCTTCTCCTCCTCCTCCTCCTCCTGCCCTATCCGGACGTTGGCAATCCTATTTTCGTCAACAGCCTCACAAAAAAGTGTTGCTGGGTTTTCTCCGAACCTTCGGTTTGCCTTCCCTCTTTCCCTGGGGGATCAAGTGAAGGATGTGGTATTTTTCCAAGTGTCGCATATCCGAAATATTCCAACTTTCGCTTTTTCATGGCTTTGGTGATTTCCCTCGGCTCTCCCAGGCGGCTTATCACCTCTTTTCGTTTCTGATTTTGTCAACCCAGCTTCTACGTAGCAGCCGCCTGTGAGTCCACCTCCGAGTAGCATTGGGGATTCTGTGGTGTACGGAACAGTGCAAAACGTTCCTCGTGAAGCACTTCTGAATTTTAATGCGTTGCAAGCACAGCTGCGTTCCCAACCTTTCTTCCTCCTCTCGATGCCTGACCTCGTTCCCCCTCCCTGCTTTTCCGACGTAGGCGTTTAGCTGTCCCTGAGCGAGAGACTCTCTTCAACGCCCTCACGAACAACCGGGAGATCATCAACCAGCAGAGGAAGAGGCTGAAGAAGTTGGTCGACAGCTTGTATGAGCTCCGTTTATACAACCACGTCACTCCGTGGAACGCGTCCGCTCAAGGCTCTTCTCACACCAGCATCCAGAGGTGAGGGCTGCT